GATAATAAACTGAAGAACAAATAGTTATTGGTCAGCCCAGAAAGAGTCACCACTTGGTAACTCCCATGCATGACGTAAACTTGTTCCAGCAGTATCAGAGAGCAAACAGCATAAACTCTGAATGTCACTCATTATTTGCTCTGCCAATAATAGCTCCAGGATGTGCTGTTTGTTCTTCCAATGGGTTTGACAAACATTTCGATGCACTAAATTTCCATAACCCTCTGGCCCTTCTGTCTTACTTTTAAACTGAAAAGCTCTTAGAAGTAGGCTAAAAAGAAAGATTCAGAGATTTTGGTCCCTAATCTCTCTGAGAGGAATGAAGGAATTATGCAGAGAAAAATCCAAATTCCATTCTAATGTAATATTAATTTCCTTCTTGATTTTAAAATAGAGTGCTTCTCCTATACAGAAAATTCTGAAAGGTCCGGAATGAGGATTAAATGGTTAGTGATTGGGAAATTTGTACTGATTTTATGAGTATTAAAAAATTGGAGAGGCAACATTGAAAAAGTTAGAAATACGTCATTTTTCTAATCGAATATGTGAAATTGGAATTGAGGTGAAGAGATCAGACTTCAGTAAATATATAACAAGGGAGTATCACCTATGATTTGATACAAGAGTAGGAGTGAGGAGAAATTCTTCTGATCCCCAGTTAGGTCACTGTATGACTACAGCAAATAATCTAATCTATGTCTTGTTTTCTCCATGAATAAATCGCCACTCAGTTTTCTAGTTCCTTTACCTAACGAACTCTAAATAGAGTCAGTATCAGAGTTGAGACTAAGGTGAAGCCAATGAGGCACTCCCCTTGGGCACACAATTTAAAAGAATACCAAAAATCTCAGTTATCAAGATACACAATATTTTTTGCAATATTTTTAAAAATTAAAGTTAATGCAAACAAAATCCATGATGAAGAAAACATCAAAACCTTCAACAAAGTTGGGATCAGTATTACTGATTTTTCTTTTTACCTCCAGGCTCCAGTATAGCTCAGCACAGAACTGTTACTGAGCCCTAAAGGTCACATGAATTGAGCTCCACCAGTTTATCACACATGATTGTGACAGACAAGAAACATTGGTTTAGGTTCTCCCATGCTACTCAGAAACATACTTTTACATATAGGTTATAGTATTTATTTAAGCAAATCACTTCCGGACTTTGAATGAGTCAAATTCTGATAGCCAACTTCAACAGACACAGTTACAGACATAAACACGGGTATACAGACAGGTGTATATAGATAGATAGTTGTATAGACAAAGCAACCTATCCCAAATGTGCTGAAATGGACTTTTTCCACTCACAGGTATTCCCAGCCCTCTTCTCCCCTTCCCTATCCTTAGTTTCCTCGTCAGCAGAGGTGGTTTTAGTGTACTTTCACAGGTAGGTGTAACCGAGAACACTCAGGATAGGACCTTAATAACTCACACAGAGAAATCCTGTGAAGAACATTTAGCTCACACCTCTTTGCAACAGGTCTGTAATTTTGGATAAATTGATTGGGTGCAGATTCTTTCCTCCAACAAAGAATCTGTTTCCTTTTGATCACAATAGCTTCTATATACAGCATAAGTGGGTCTTTGCTCAGTTTAAAGACAAAACTGGTACCCAAATGGATTAAAAGCCCATTGCAACAGGCCTGGGACCTACAGGTTGGGCTTTACAAATTTTTTTAAATCCCTCTTGTTTCCTAATTATTAAAGTAATATATGCCCACTATAGAAGAATAACTAAATGAAAGAAGAAAGGAAAGGCCAACTGTGATGAGACAGTAAAATGATATAGCTTCTTTGGAAAAGAGTCTAGCAGTTTCCCAGAAATATCAAATATAGAGTTCTCATATGATTCAGTAATTAGATGACCAGGTACCTAGCCAAGAGAACTGAAAACAAACATATATCCACACACAAATTCATAAGTAAATGCTCACAGCAACATTGTCCATAGTGGACAAAAAGTGGGAACAATACAAATGTCCATCAACAGATGAATGGATAAACAAAATGTGGTATCATCAATTAACAAAAGAGTTACTTATCCTTAAAAAAAGAATGAAATACTGATCTATGCTATAATGTGGATGAGCCTTAAAAACATGATGCTAAGTGAAAGAAGCCAAACCCACTTTTTATGCATTTCCATACAACTGCCTTGTAATTCTCAGCCACAACATAACCCATAAACTGGCCTTTGGGATTGAAATGCACACCCTGCTATATTTAAAACAGATAACCAAAAGGACCTACTGGTAAATATATATATATATAAATATATAACCCATACACTGAAACTGTCAATCATGAAGAAGATTCTCTAAAGAAAATACTAGAATAAGGAAGTAATTGTGCTGGAGGAGAGGTCTAGGAAACAGTGGATGACAAGTAGGCAGGGGGATCAAAGCAGTCTTACCCTGAAAATTAACATCTGACCTAAGTCCGACACCATGGAAATGTGCAAACTGGCAAACAGACACTCAATGGAATCTATTTTGAGGGGACGTCTATAACATATCATCCAAATCGACAAGGGCATTTATTTTTATTGACTGTTAAATATTCCAGATCAAAAGGTATTTACTTTTTTTAATTTTTTGCTTTTGTTTCCATTTATTTTTATTAGCTGGAGGCTAATTACTTTACAATATTGTAGTGGTTTTTGCCATACAGTAACATGAATCAGCCATGGATTTACATGTGTTCCCCATCCTGATGCCCCCTTCCGCCTCCCTCTCCATCCCATCCCTCTGGGTCTTCCCAGTGCACCAGCCCTGGGCACTTGCCTCATGCATCCAACCTGGGCTGGTGATCTGTTTCACCCTTGATAGTGTATTTGTTTCAATGCTGTTCTCTCAGAACATCCCACCCTCACCTTCTCCCACAGAGTCCAAAAGTCTGTTCTGTACATCTGTGTCTCTTTTTCTGTCTTGCATATAGGGTTATCATTACCATCTTTCTAAATTCCATATATATGTGTTAGTATGCTGTAATGTTCTTTCAGAATTTCTTTATAAAATTAAGTTTATGACTTCAAATTTGTATTTCAATTTCTGATAGCTTCCAAAAACATATCTTTTTTATCTCTCTCTGACCCATGTTCAACCTAATCAAAATCAATTTAAGAAATATTAGTGTCTGCCAGTACTATACAAGGGAACATCTCATATGATACCTGTATTAAACTGAATGTCCTTTACCCTCACCATTATGCCAGCTTTGGCAATTATGGAAACAATGACAGTATTTATTCTCTCATTGACAAGTCTCAATCAGAAGTCACGGAAGTCATTATCACAATATCTATCAGCTTATGACTAGCATAGGCTGAAGATTACAATGACANTGGATTTATCTCTGGGCTTTCTATTCTGTTCCATTGATCTATATTTCTGTCTTTGTGCCAGTACCATACTGTCTTGATGACTGTAGCTTTGTAGTAGAGCCCAAAGTCAGACAGGTTGATTCCTCCAGTTCCCTTCTTTCTCAAGATTGCTTTGGCTATTCGAGGTTTTTTGTATTTCCATGCAAATTGTGAAATTATTTGTTCTAGTTCTGTGAGAAATATTGTTGGTAGCTTGATAGGGATTGCATTGAATATACAGATTGCTTTGGGTAGCATACTCATTTTCACAGTATTACTTCTTCCAATCCATGAACATGGGATATTTCTCCATCTATTTGCATCCTCTTTGATTTCTTTCATCAGTGTTTTATAGTTTTCCATATATAGGTCTTTTGTTTCTTTAGGTAGATTTACTCCTAAGTATTTTATTCTTTTCATTGCAATGGTGAATGGAATTGTTTCCTTAATTCCTCTTTCTGTTTTCTCATTGTTAGTATATAGGAATGCAAGGAATTTCTGTATGTTAATTTTATATCCTGCAACTTTACTATATTCATTGATTAGCTCTAGTAATTTTCTGGTAGGGTCTTTAGGGTTTTCTATGTAGAGGATCATGTCATCTGCAAACAAGGGTACTTACTTTTATGGAATGTTAAAACAGCCACAACTCAGTTCTTCTAGAGCAAAGCCAACTTTCTAAACCATATCTCCAAACACAATCTTGGCTATTTTCCTAGGAAGATTACATTCTTTTCAGAAATCCTTTTGTGAAGCTATGCAGTCTCTTGCTCCTCAAAGGACAGTCTGAATTTTTACAACATCACTTGCTACACAACAAACTCAAACTCTTAGACATTTTAAATAAATAAATAAATAACATATGATTGGTGTCATATAAATGATGTCTAATCTGTGGCTGTCACCTCCTTCCTCTAACAATCTCCTCCCAGATTAAAAAAAGAAAGGCCATGAGTATTTGAATGTGAAATGGCACACATTATTGACAGAGTAATCACTTGGTGACAGTCTCTGCTTTGGAGGGAGAGGTCATAGAACATTAGGTTATAGAACACTGGGCCCTCGGTGAGTCTGGAAATGGAGATATTTCAGGATTTTCCCTGTTTGTGTCTTTCTGAGTGGTAACCCAAATCCAAGCTGGCTCCAAATCCAAGGTGCTCCCTTCCAGCACCTTACTGCTCTTAATAGCAGTATCTACATCACCAGGGAGCTTGAAATAATTGCAGAGTCTGCATTTTAACAGTATCCCCAGGGGATCTGTGCACACAAAGTTTTAGATGTCCTGTATATTAAAATTTGAGATTTGCTGCTCTAGTACACACTTCTCCAAGATACTTCTTTGTATACAAAGTAGAGCAGAAAATGCAAATTTTTGAGGAACTTACACTAAAAATATTAAGGGTCATAGAAAAAAATTTCTCCTGAACAAGAAAACATTTCATTAGTTTAGCCAGTATTTGGAAACTTTTATTACATGGTAGCAGGTTGCTAATTTTCCACTTCAACTTTAAAATAGCAATTTGGTAAGAAAATAAAATAGCAGTAGAAATGAAATCAATGATATCAAGGATGTTTTTAAATCACCAAGAGGAATTGGTTCTAACCATAATATAGATGAGTCATACCAAGAAATGATGGCCAGTGAGCTCATATATAAAGGTCTCTGAAAGATAGCAAAAACACAGAAGTAAAAAATAACCATTGTATTAGAGACCTAGTTCCTGAGGAGAATCTTCCTCCCTAAAAGAATTCTCCCTGGAGGATTCTTCAGTGATTCATTCCTAGGGAAACTTATAACAACCAGTATTTGAACTTGGCCAAGAGCTCAAGGGCCCATCAAAATTGTACTCTGTTGGGTTAATATCTGAGTAGATGGGGGCAGAAAGAAGAAGAAATCCACTTGGGAGACTGGATGTTCTACTTCCAACAAAGCATGAGCTATATGCTGATTCAAAGTTTTCAGTAATACATACACTATAGTTAGAAAACCAGGTAATAGGAACAAAAATAGTCACACCTCAATAAAGTAATATTGAACAGGCTAAATGTCTTCTAGACATTAAAAACTTAAATGCTATGGATGTGTGCATCTGGTTGGCCTCTAGCGTATTCCCCAAAAAGGAATTCTGATGGTGCATTGGTAGATGATGATATAATCCAGATAGAATATGGGTCCTCTTAGCGGGCAAATATCAGACTGGAACCGACTCTTCTTTGTTCAAATTGAGTACTTTGGAAAGTTATATAACATGGGGCATTTGCAAACCAAAGAATATTCTTGCTGTAAAAATACAGAGAAAAATTATTAATATTACAAAATGAAGTAAAAATTTTAAAAGCATATCTATTTTCAGAAACACAGAAGAAAGTAACTTCACAAAATTAAGAAAAAACCAATAAAAACAGAACTGAGATACCAGGCTGATATAAAAAGGTAGAGAGCAAGGAAATGACATAAATATAAATAAACCTCCTGTTGCAATAGTTGACAACAGCCCATCTTGAAGGTGGTATGCAGGAAAGGAAACAGATGAAGATGGTAACATAAAGAGACAGCAATAGATTACAAAGTTCCAATCAGCTGGCTATTGATATCATCCAGAAAAACAATACAAAAGGGAGCCTTCTGGCTAAAGGCTGAGTGAGGAGGTCAACAAACCCTTTTCCCCCAATAGCATTAAACAATAATCTGTGAAACATTTGTGCTTAAAAAAAGAGCTGACTTTTAAGTAGGAACAGTGGGAGTCTGAAGCATTCTTGCCTGGAGCCCCTCCAGCTTAGTAGGCAGCGGGCAGGCTGTGCTCCGGGGGAAGGGAGTTCGCTCCACTTGGAGTGATGGCAACACCCTTGTCCAGTAGCATTGGTGGTGGAAGTGATGAGGTCAGGACTGGCACGAGTATGTTCCTAGCTCAGGCTTTGCTAGGACTTGGTGGGTGTGAGGGAGAAGGGATTAACTGCAAGTGAGGACAAAGGGACTTTTAGGGATGATGAAAATGTTCTGAAGCCAAAAATCACTGAACTCTTTACCACTAAGCATGTGTAAATTTTATATGAAATTGATACACTAATAATAGTTTTAAAAAATCATATATAAAAAGGAAAACTTCTATGGTGAAAAAAAAAAGCATTTTTTTAGAATTTATAACTCTAATGAGCTCACCATGCCCCTGGCAGAAATTATTGTTGCTCAGACTCCAACTTGTCTTGCCAACCATTTTATTCTCATGCCAAAAACTGTATAAGAACTATGACTTTATCCATGCAGGAAAAGAAAGCCACACAAACAGATTACTGCACAGGAAGAACAATCACACTAAACCCAAGCTTCCCCTGTGCAAAAGTAAATAACAAAAGGAAAAAAATTTTATAGAATTTTAATAGGACAAATTGAGCTCTCAGAATTGTCTGCCAAACACAGCTGTAGCTCTTGTCAAGGTAACAAGAAATGCTCATTTTAGGGTTCAATCCCTGGGTCAGGATGATCCCCTGGAGAAGGAAATGGCAACCCACTCCAGTATTCTTGCCTGGAGAATCCCATGGATAGAAGAGCCTGGCAGGCTACAGTCCATGAGGTCACAAAGAGTTAGACACGAATGAAGCGATTTAGCAGCAGCAGAAGTGCTCATCTGATGAAGAGTTAGTTTACAGTTATAATTGATTCCTCTAAATAGCAGAGTATATGCATTTCAGAAGGAGTTTAATTTGTAAACAATATCCTCCTCCCCCAATACTTCATAGAAACCCATCTACCGCAAAACTCTGGAGCCTCAAGTTCAATAGCCAAACACATCTACTGCAAATTTCTGGAGCCTCAAGTTCAATAGCCTTCAGTGATAGTCAAATAACATGAAGGAAGAAGCCAGGTGTATTTCTATGGCGCCAGAGTCAGTGTTTGGGGGGTTTAGTACTGCTCTTGATAGTTCACTTCTGCATCAGGGAGTGGTGAGGACTGTGGCAGGGGTTCCAAGAAGATTGACACTTTTCAAGAATGAGAAACTGAATCCATGTTGCTGGGACTTTTAATTTTTCGAAAGAAATCAGACTACCTAGATTTCATATTAAAAAATTGTGTTTATGGCTTTCATGTTGTTCCATATTTACAGAAACCTTCCTTCAAATTAAATTCTCCATCGAACACAAAATATGAGCTAGAACTAGACTATCTTTCTAATAATTACGATTTTGCTTGTGCTCGCTAAGTTGTGTCCAACTCCATGAACCCCATGGACTGTAGCCTACCAGGCTCCACTATCCATGGGCTTTCCCAGGCAAGAATACTGGAGCAGGTTGCCATTTCCTTCTCCAGGGTATCTTCCTGACCCAGGGACTGAACTCATATCTCCTGCAGGCAATTCTTTACCACTGAGCCACCAGGAAAGCCCCCCGTGATTCCATGAGATCCTAAATAAGAGTTGGCTGAGTAATGAATGGCCTGTTATCCAGCTGGTCAGCATATATAACTTATGCCAATCTAACTCACTAGGTTAGCTCAATTTAATATGTATTAAGTGATTATTATAGACCGGACATTGTGCCTTTATGGACACATGAGCACACCACTGACAGTCAAACATACTTATTTCAGGGCAGGGAAACCAGAACACACAGACGATGTAGAAAATCCTTCTTGTAGATGAAGAGGTGGAAGATGTCAGTCAAGGAGACTTTTCCACTGTGCCTTCAAGGATGGGTTAAGTTTTTCTAAGCAGAAACAGGACAGGGAGTGTCCAAGAGCCTGAAGAAACACAATAGGTGTGAAAGTGCACAGTACTTCCAGGGAAAATAAGACAGCTGCTAGACAAGAGGAAACAGCACCTAGAAATTAAGCATTAACCTGTACACTGGTGAGTAACTGAGTTACACTAATCATTTTCTTACAGTGATTTGCAAGGAGGCAGAGAAAAAAGAGGCCTCAGAGTCTTGAGGATATAAATCCTAGCTTACGTTAATAAAACATGTATTCAGTTGTACATTTTCAGTTAGAATCATAAGATCATCTGTTAAAATTTTAATAAGTCAAATCCTCTTAAACTTTAAATACTTATAGCACAAATACCTACCGATTTTTTTACACAAAATATAGGCTTGATTTTCGTCAGCATTTTAGTCTTAACTTCTAAGATGAAAATCTATTAACTCATAAAGAAAACAATTTAAACCATCTCAAACTACTTTTCCAATCAATTTTTGGGGCTGCTTCCTCAGTTTTGTAAAAATCCCTAACAACTGGAATGATTAGCTGAAATGCAAATTGAAATCTTGTTCAAAAAACAGGTGAGACAGAGCCCTATTTATATCTTTAACAAGGACTATAAAACTTACAGAAGAGATACTGAAACATTCCACATTTCTGGGGTTGAGTCATCCCACAATATAATTTTCAGGTCAGACTTAAGCCTATAACTGCCATTCAGGGCTACTAAACCACTTGAGGGAATCCTGGGTTACATTCACTCTTAATAGATTACAAGTGACCTTTGAAGCAGGTTTCAACTGCATGGGCCCACTTACATGAGGATTTTTTTTTTTCCAGCAAATATTGCACCTGTATTTTCATTTTACAGATCTTTAACTAACTGGTGGTGGTGGTGGGGAGTCTGTGTTTGATTAGTGATCACAATATGTGGAATCAAAAGAACTAGGGTTTGAGTCCTGATTCTACAAACTATCCAGCTTCCTGCTCCATCCCCACACTCTCACACTGTTCAGCAGTCAACTGTATATTTGTAAAATATGCCATATTTTTAAAATGCATTTAATACAGTATTTATTTTCCCATTTAGTACTCCTTTAAAGTTGAAAGAACCCTCTATTCTGTTTATATTCTTTCTGCCTATTGTTGTTGTTGTTCAGTTACCCAGTTGTATCCAATTCTTTGCGACCCCACCTATTAGGGCTCCCAATTTTTTTTTCCAATGCTAAAAGACAGTGTAGTTGGATTCTCCATCTTTCAAATTTGTCTCACCACAAATTCTACAGTTGGTCTATTGACAGTGTCTCATGTACTTCGATGTGCAATAAATAGTAGAAGATGCTTGTTAAGCATAATATTGAAAAGGATCTCATACAGCTTCAAAATATCCATAGTTCTATAAGATAAAAACAAGAAGGGAGAAAATAAGAATAAACAGGAAAAAAAGGCAGAAAAAACTGAGGACAAAGTTTTAGGTTAGTTTACAAAATATAAGGTCATAACATGCTATGTCTTATTAAGATGATTAATTTCACTTACAGTGTCTAAGAACTACCATATACACAAAACAAATACTTAATACATTAAATACTTAATACATGTTTAATTTCACAAATCTGAATCTGGATTTCCTTACAGCAAAGTTGAAGAAGAAAGCATAATCATACTTTCCATAAAGTAAACACAAACGAGTTAGTCAGAAGAATGACAAATATTCCTCAGTCTGAGTTTCTTGAGAAATTTATTTCATGGACCCTTATAAAGAGGACAATTTGTAACATAGCTATAAAGAATATTTTGCCTTGAAAGTTTAATAATCCATGAAATTTGAAGAGGGCCAACAAAGTGCTAAACAAGCAAAAAGAAAAGCATTCTTGACAGTGATACTCCTTGGGGAGCCACACAGTGACTCACAAGCTGAATCCTCAAAGACATCGGTACAAAAATGCAAAACGACTGCTTTTTATAAGATCCCTCAAAACAGGTCAAGTATTTGAGCAATCACCAGCAATTCAGTCAATCTCTTAGGGCCTCAGGTTCATCATTTAAAAAAAGGGGGGGAGCTGATAAGGAGATGGAATAACCTAGATAATCTCTAAGAGATGTCTTTCTAGCTCTGAAAAAATGTTTATAATTCTTGATTAAATTCTTACTGAGCTCCTACTATGTGTTCTATGTGCTGTTTCCTGGATAAAAAGAATTCTAAATACACACACACACACAAAGACACACATGCCCTCTGAGTGAGTATTTTATAATTTTGCTATTCTGAAGAGTAGACTTGCTGTTGTTTGCCTGTTACTATAGCCAGAAAGAGTCCAGTATTTGCACACCCAATGATCCATGAAAGTCAACAGAGAGCAGACACACTCTGTCCTTCTATTTATCTCTGAACTTAGATAAAGCCTGGAAACTCTTCTTGAATATTCAAAAAACTCTTTGTTGACAGCTTCTGTCAGACAATTTTTCAAACTAATTTGTGCACAGGTGCACATGCTAAACAAGGCATTTAAGAACCCATTGTTTTAAATGGACATTGTGTTCAAATTTCCAGGCATATTTTCCACTATTAAAAACCCTTAACTGAAGACATAACTAAAATGTGTTGGGCTTTTGAAAACTTGGGGCAATATTGTGCAGAAAAGGCACAGCTCCCAGTAACTGGATGAGAATAAATGAAGGGAGAATAGCAAAAAATTAATAATCTAAAAAGGAATTTTAAATGGTAATAGTAGAATCTTCAAGGCATTTTATAATGTCATTATGCTCAGCACCTCCCAGATAACACAAATATGTATCTTTATATACATATCATATATATACCATATATATATTTATATATATGTATGTATGGGTGTGTATATTATAGGGCAACAAAATTTGCCACCTAAAATTTCTCTTTGGCTTGCAGATGATTTTGAGTTGAAAATGATCAAGGCCTAAAAAACTCAGGAAGGAACTTTGACCTTACACTTAACTGCCTGAAGAATTTAGAAAGAGGCTGTGATCTCTTACAGAACAGAGCTGTCACCAGAGACATCTGCAGTGAGTATGGGCTGGGTGTGGTGGGTGGACTCTTAGAGATCTGAGTCCACTCTGTGTCCCATTGTGTCTCATGACCCAGCAAACATCTGTTTATAAACATCTGCTTTTCCATCTTTATGGAATTTACCTTCCTCCCCTTTGAAGTCCCAAACCACTACCCTCAACATCCTGTTTTATCTTTAGTTGAAAATGGTATTTAAGGTGAGGGTTTTAGTCATTTTGGTGAGTTACTTAGTATTTCTGGGCCTCTCCCATGTATACATGTTATTATAATTTTATGTGATTGTCTTCCTATTACTCTATCTAATGCCAATTTAATTCTTAGAGCAGCCAGAAGAACTTAGAAAGGTAGAGGAAAATTTCTTCATCCCCAACAATATACATAAACACGTGTGTCTTTCCCATAATGTTTTGGGAGGAAATACCTATAAGACTTCCCTGATAGCTCAGTTGGTAAAGAATCTTCCTGCAATGCAGGAGACCCTTGTTCAATTCCTGGGTCAGGAAGACGTGCACATAGGGAGAATGCCATGTGAAGATGAAGACAGAGATCTGTCCCCTGATCTCTGTCAGGGGAAGCTTTAAAGCCAAGGAATGCCAAAGATTATCAACCAACCACCAGAACCAAGAAGAAAGGCCTGGAACATATTCTCCCTGACAGCCTCAGAAGGAACCATCCTGCTGACATCTTAATCTCAGACTTTCAGCCTCCAGAACCATAAGACAATAAATTTCTGTGACTGAAGCCACTCAGATTACAGACGTTTGCTAAGACAGCTCAGCAAATTAATGGTCTTCTGGGGTGGTACTAGTAGTAAAGAACCCCTGGGTCAGGAAGATCCCCTGGAGGAGGGCATGGCAACCCACTCCAGTATTCTTGCCTGGAGAATCCCACGGACACAGAAGCCTGGCTAGCTACAGTCCATGGGATTGCAAAGAGTTGGACACGACTGAAGCAATTTAGCTCAGCACACACAGCACAAGCAAATTAATACAATGTGGATAAGAGTGATGCCTCAAACGATGCCTTTTTAAGCCATGTTCATTTTTAAACCGAGTTAATGCAGTGGCACGGTCACTACATTATATTTTTATATAATTCCACGCAAAAGAGATAGTTTTATGGGGAGGGAGGGGGAAAGTGGGTAGAAAATCATTAGAATCCAATCCATGCAATTCCCTGCAGGGCAAAAACTGTTCTACAAGGGGGCCTATGGTGATACCTTAAGAACACCCCCGAAGTGCCGGAAAAGTCGCTTCAGGCCCTGGCCCGTCATAGCCCCGGCAACATGGTGGCAGCGGTGCAGGGTTGAGAGAGCTGGGCTGGCGGCCAACCAGAGCCACCAGCCAGTGACCCTTCAGGACACCGCAGTCTGCAATCCCGACCTGCTTTCCTGGGGAGGTGAGGGGGGTTAAAAAACAATGATAAATAAACCTGAAAACCCTCCCTTCAACAATGCCGCGGAAAAGGGCTACTCGTGCCACAAAGGTTCCTAAGCACCAACATGTGTCAGGAATTCAGGCAACGGAGAACATGCAACCACACAGAAATGGTGCCAGCCCTCAGGCCACTCAGAGGCTAGCCAGGAGGCTGGCCTTCATCAGGTGGTCACGTGCAAAACTGAGTTAGCAACCCTGATAAATGCTAAAGTATAAGACGCTGGGCGATTATATTAGGAGAGTCAGGGTTCTGAACCCAATTACTGTGTATTTGGGAAAGTTCCCAAACCACCAGGCAATTCCCCAACACCAACTGAGTGACCTAAAATTCAACTCAGTCCTGACACTATCTGGAGCAGTGTCATATCCCACAGGCTAAGGGCTCAGTCCCATAAGACTGTCCCTGACATCAGATGATAACTGCAAGGCCAGGGGCTACCTTTGCTTCTGATCAGCTGGCTATAAATCAGAGGTTCCCATGAACCCCTCGTTGGGCTCAGTTAAGTTTCTAGAGTAGCTTACAGAACTCAGGAAACCATTTTACTCACTAGATTACCAGTTTATTACAAAGGACATCAAAGGATACAAATCAACAACCAGATGAAGCGATACACAGGATGAAGTCTTGAACAAAGGAGCTCTGTCCTCGGGCAGTTTGAGGCCCAACAGGTGGTATTTGGAAGAGATCCAGTTCCCCAACCTGGAAACTCTCTGAAAAAACCTTTGGGATTTTTATGGAGGCTTCATTACAAGGGCATGATTGGTTAAATCACTGGCCATTGGTGTCTGGCTCAGAGTCCCGCCCTTCTTTCCTTTCCAGAGGTCACGGGTTGGAAGTTTCAAGTTCTACGGTTAGTTTCTCTGCACCCAGCCCCTATCTGTACAGGTGTCCAAAAGTCATTCATTAACATAAACTAGTTGTGATGGAAAAGTTATGACTAATAAGATACCTGTTCCACCTTTATGGCTCTGAAGCATTTTCAGGAACTGAAGACAAGAGACCAAATATGACAACGAAATATACTCCCATTGCTCTTATCCATCAGGACATTCCAAGGATTTGGGGAGCTGTGAGCCAGGAACATGGACAAAGACAAAAATATATAATAAACATATTTTTGCCCATCTAAATGACCAAATATACATTTCTTACAACTCACAATATCACAAGGTGACATTGGAAAGTTTGAGAAGCCTTCCCTAGGAAGAGATACACTGAGAAGAGGGGTGGAGAGAGATTTATACTGAGTGGAGGAGGATGGGAATTCACATGTCAAAAGGGGAGGGTGGCTGCTGAGAGAGGCTCTGAGGCCAGAGGGCTTGGCACAGAGAAAATAATAAAGGCTGGCGTGACTAGCATTTAAACACTGATGAGGAGTGACCCAGGACAAGGCTGTAAGATAGGTCAGGTCACACTGTGTGTGCTTTGCAGGGCATGATGAAGGCTGAACTCAATGGGATTAAGCAAGGATCAGATTTGAAATTTAAAAAATGTTACTCTGCTGACCTCATGGCGGTTATATAAATCATTTTTAACAACCGCTCCTCCTCTATAGGGCAAAATTATTTTCTATAGTAATTATTATTTTCTGGACTTGTTGAGCTTTAGGGCTGTGCTGTGTGCTGTGTTTAGTCACTCAGTCGTTCCAACTCTCTGCTGCCTCAGGGACTATATCCTGCCAGGCTCCTCTGTCCATGGGATTCTCCAGGCAAGGATACTGGAGTGGGTTGCCGTTTCCCCCTCCAGGGGATCTCCCAGGGATCGAACCTGCATCCTTAAGTGTCCTGCATAACCTGCGTCTCTTATGTCTCCTGCATTGGCAGGCGAGTTCTTTACCACTAGTGCCACCTTGGGAAGCCCCAATAGCTTAAAAAATGTATTTTCCATTTTAAAGACATTATTGA